TCCGGGCCGAAGGCGTGGGCGTCGAGGGCCCCGAGCGTCCTCGCTTTGAAGATGGAGAAGGAGGAGAATACGACAGGGCATTGCCCTCCCTCGCCTGAGGCGAAGAGCTCATGTCAATGAGGATTCCTGCAGCCTCCTCCTCGGGAGATCGAGACGCCGGTGTTTGATACCGACTGCCAGCAAGAATCTTCGTCGCCTGTTCCTCGGGCGATTTAGCCACAGGTGTCTGATACCGGCTGGCGGCTGGGGTTGCGCTAAGAGATTCACTTCCCGAGCGGAGATGAGGCGCCTCAATGTGCAAGCAGTCGAAGGTTGGGTGGCTGAGATCGCCACCACGCTTCTGCCGACAGTCCTGGCATAGTTGCCAGCCGCAACCACTGCAGCGGATCATGCCTTTACTATTCCGGCAGTTGCATGTGTCGCATTTTGCTGTGTGGGCCGGGATATCCTCGAACTTCGTGATCACCTCAGGGAGGGGTTTGGCTGCCGGTTTGGCTGGGTTCTGGGGACTTTTCTGGCGGCTTGGTTCTGGGACCTCAGGCTTTTCGATCCGGTCGTTGGAATTGTCGGATTTTGACCTTGGAGTGACTGGCTCCGGCCCTTTAGGAGTTGTCTCTGACGCGGGTCCTGATGAACCTGGAGACTGAGCTGGCTTGGTCGATTGAGGATCCAGGAACTGGGATATTTCTCTTCGAGAATGACGTTTAGTATCTCCCATGTCCGAATGGGGTACCTTTTGAGCACTTGATGGATCATTTGGATAAAGATCGTGCCCAAAATATCCCCCCCATTTGCGTCAGATGTGGGATCGGGGGCGGCATCGACCACTATGCTGTATGTCAGCCAACATAGAATTCTTATGAATTCAGGATATACATACAGGAATGAAGCGATCAAAGGAATCAGATCGCGTTCCAAAGGACTGGAAGACACTTCCATTGGGACAGTCTATCGTGGGAAAGCGGACATTATCGCAAGGACCTGGGGCCGATGACCCAATCTCCATCACATCTGGATGAACCAGAACCACCGATCGTCGAGGTGGATGGTTGGCCATCGGGACCAGACGTGAAGCATCTTGGCCAGGAGGGATGAGATTTTGGATATCCATTTCTCGAAGTGTAGGCAAGCTGTTTTGTGTATAGTATGATGTTTCATCCATGATGGAGTAAATCGAAGTGTGGAAACAGAAGTTGGTAAGGATGAGGGGTGGCGGGAGGAAAAGAAGATGAAATATGGCTATGCCCTTTCATTGAAATTATAGCAAATCACTCTGGAAGTCTCCATAACCGGTAATTTCCCTACCTGGAGGGAAACATTCCACTTGAACGACATTAAGAGGCAACCGGAGGCGAGACCCCCCAAACACTCCAAACACTTCACAGTATCGCACACGAAGGAGTCATAATAACCATAACAATGATCTGAAGAAACTACTCACTACTTTGTTGAGATAATTGTGATTGAAATGGAAAATTCAAAGCTGTTTTGATTTGTGGTGGAAACACTCTTTATTTTATGCATCTCTCATATAAATCCATCTATGTAAACTGCCAAAGACAGTGCACAATCATCACATATTTGTCTAATCAGTATGACCCTCCGTCAATATCTAATTCAGTTATTGGGCTGCAGATTCAGCGTTAGTGAGATCGGCTCGTGGAAATTGCAAGAAACTAATAACATACGGTTGCCATCCTCAGGCTGGGGCTGGGCGCCAGTCGCGTCAAGGACAGACTTGCCCGCCGCGGCGGTCTTGTCATCCTTCATCATGGGGAAAGTAAGCACCTCCTTGATGCTGTAGTTGTCGGTAAGGAACATGACCAGACGGTCAATACCCATTCCCCAGCCACCAGTAGGGGGCAAACCGTACTCCAGGGAAGTACAGAAGTTCTCGTCGATGAGCTGAGCCTCGTCGTCACCCTGGTCCTTCTGGCGGGCCTGCTCTTCGAAGCGCTCTCTTTGGGTGTAGGGGTCGTTCAACTCGGTATAAGCATCTTTACGGGGTTAGTACTGGCACAATAAATCCCATTTGGGGATGAGCGAAGAAGCACTTACTGCAAATCTCCTTCTTGCAAACGAAGGCCTCGAAACGCTCACACAGACCGGGCTTGTCGCGGGAGTACTTGGCAAGCGGGGACATCATCTCGGGGTGACCGGTGATGAAGGTAGGGTTGATGCAGGTCTCCTCGATGAACTCTCCGACCAGAGTATCCAACATACGGGCGTTGGTCAGGGGCGGGGTGCACTCCACGTTCATCTTCTTGCAGACACGCTGGAGGAACTCGTTGGTCTCCTTGGTGTGGAGCTGGTCACCGGAGGGGAACTTCTCGCCGGTGGCCTCTTCCAGAGCGGGGATCATCTCCACGCGGCGCCAGGGGGCCTTCCAGTTAACGTTGTAGGTCTCGCCAGACTGGGTGTGGTAGGTGGTCTCGTATCCACCGGTGATCTTCTTGACCAGACCGGAGACAAGCTCCTCGGTCAGATCCATGACATCGAACATATCGGCGTAGGCCCAGTAGAATTCACAGGTGGTGAACTCAGGGTTGTGAGTAAGATCGATACCCTCGTTACGGAATTGACGGCCAATCTCGTAAACACGCTCAAGACCACCGACAATGAGCATCTTGAGGTACAGCTCAGGGGCAATTCGCAGGTATTGCTCTTGGTTGAGGTCGTTGTCTTTGGGTTAATAAGTGCAAGGTTAGTAGGCGGATCTTGTACAATCTGAACTCATAGGGACATTTCACATACGCTGCCGGCAGAGATTAGTTAGTAAATAGCAAACCCATGAAGGGGTTTTGGTTGAGATTGACTTACGTGAGTAATGAAAGGCTTGGCTGTCGCACCACCGGCAATTTGGGAAAGGCAAGGGGTCTCGACATCGATGAACTGAAGTACAAAAGTGACTAGGTTAGTAACATAACGGGAAACAGTCTCGGCGTGATAAACATACGCTAGATAAGAAAAGGTTAAATTAGCATGGGACTTCAAAATCAATTGGACAAGATAGAATTGTAGCACATACTCTCGGTCGTCAAGGAAGTCACGAATGTACTTGGTAATCTTGGAGCGAGTACGGATGATCTCGCGGGAGCGGTCGTTCATGATAAGATCGAGGTAACGTTGACGGAAACGCTGCTCCTTGTCCTGGAAACCGTAGTGCTCGGAGGGAATGGCGTGCAAGCAGGGGGACAGAAGAATGAGCTCGGTGGCGAAGATAGAGAGTTCACCATCGTCACGGTTCTTGGGGGAGGTACGGCCGGGGAAACCGACAATACCGACAATATCACCACGACGGATGTGCTCGTGTTGCTCCTCGAATGAGGAGTTACCAGTGGCAAACTGGGCCTGGCACATGATCTGGACCTTGACACCCTCGGCGCGGAGATCGTAGAAGAGAAGCTTGTTGCCGGAGGAGCGCTTGGTGTAGATACGCCCGGCAAGGCTGATCTTGACCTCGGGCTTCTGTTCACCCTTGGCGAGAGGGGCATAGTCGGTGAGGAATTGGCGCAGATCGGTGTTGACCTGGAACTTGTGGGGGTAGGGGTTGGGAGTCTTGGTCTGGCGCAGCTTATCGATTCTCTTGCTGCGGATCTCGAAGTATTGCTAGATGGCGCGCACACGGGTTAGTCGGCGGATTCGGACGAGAATGGGGAAAGGGTTATAATTGTTCAACTCACGTTGGGAGTCAGGTTGGCCTCATCATCCTCAGCAGAGGTCTTCTTGGCAGCGGCGGGCTTAGGAGGAGCAGCAGCTTCCTTCTCCTTCTTCTTGGCCTCCTTCTCGCGCAACTTCTGGCGCTTCTTCAATTCGGTCTTGGAGACCTTCTCGCCGGTGACCTCGTCGAGCAGAAGCTTGGCCATGGACGCCTCGGCATCCTGCACAGGGTTGGAATCCGCCATAATGGGTGATTGCGATGGGGATCAGGAAGTTGATGGTGGGAGAATGGATGGAGGGGCGCGCGAAATTTTGGGCGGCGGTCATGGCGGGGGGCTTGTCTGATTGGGTCGGACGTTACGATAAAGAGAAAGTACATGACTCAACTTGTTACAGAATAACTACTGGAATACATGAGTCATACAACAGCTATAGAGAGTTATGAAGATCATGGGGAGTTATTTCATAAGTTAACATACTTTCTTTCATAGAAACTTATGTTCAAATGGCTCAATTCTGTCCATTTGCATCAGTTATGGCAGATTCCCAATCTGGAGATTAGGGCTTAGGGTATAGTGTAAGTGGGGCTGTACCCCGCCAACCGCCAAGTCTGAACTATACAGACTACATTAAACATGGAATTGGTAAAATAAGGTCTAGGGGTCTGGTTTGATCTGTTCTGAGACATTAGATACATATATGATATTTCTATATTCTATGGCTTTTGCCTTATACATGCCGCTAAATGCTAGCATTCAATGTTGGTCATTTCATACGACCAGCCAGTATTTACAGCGAAATGAACCTCAAGCTATCTTGCAAGATCATAGATAATATTCCTATTCCTTGCCTATAAGTATTCACTCTGTAAATAAAGCTTTTAGTTTCAATATGCTACTACATTAATCAATGCACTGGGGGATCAACTACTAAGTAAGTGACCCAACCCTAACTTAAAATTGAACTTGACCTTGAACCTCCCAAGAAGGCTCCAGTTCACTCGTGGCTTCCCTACCATCTCTTGAGAAGAGAAGCAGGTTCCTTCCTTTAATCACTCTTCCCTCTTCCCTCTTCCTCCTTTGCTCTTTCCTCCCTCCTCCATTCACCACCCGCTTATCTTACTTTCACTCACTTCCTTCCTTCCTTCCCCCCCTCTCCCCCCTTCCTACCTCCACCCTACTCCACCCTACTCTACCTTTTACTCTACATCCATCATTTTCATTACGCTGTATGATCCTCAGATTATCCAAACATCTACTATTGTACAAGCCTTCCTTGTACCCTATCTTATCAACTTACCCTTCCCCCTTACGGTGAGCCAGAAAGGCTAACAGGACAGCATGGCGCGTACCCAGCGGGTCGGACAACCCAAATCCGAAGGTAAACAACCAACCCTTCCCCCCTATTCACCTTGTTCTTTCTTTCATTCTAACAGAAAGACAGTCAGCCCCACCATAGGCACTTCATCCTCAGGCTACATTGTTTCTGTTCCTGGCTTGTCTCAGCCGAATGTATCTGCCACGCTCGATGCCCTCACCTTCGACATGAAAGGTCTGATCAGGAAGATCCAAGACCTGCGAAACTTGGGTATCGAAGATAGCAACATTGCTTTACCTAAGATCTGCGTCGTCGGAGATCAGAGTACTGGAAAGAGCTCGTTGATTGAAGCCATCTCGGAAATCAAGGTGCCTCGAAGTGAAGGCACATGCACCCGATGCCCGCTTGAGATCAACCTTGCACAGAGTGATGTTGAACAGCCTTGGAGCTGCATAGTTTCTCTCTCACGGCCCTACCACTGGGAACCCAAGGATGTCCGTCGACAGAGCTACAAGAAAACCGAAGTCATTGGTCGTTGGGTATGCTGGGGGTCTGGGTCTCCAGATAATGAGCATTTCTGCGTTTTGACAGACAGATCCGAAATCGCCGAGGCTATCAAATGGGCGCAGCTGGCAATCCTCAACCCTGACAAGGATTCGCAGACATTTGTTCCCGGGAAGAACGCCGTCGCCATGCATGATCGCTCACATGGCCTCGTAAAGAACACTGAGGAGTTTTCTCCAAACATTGTCCGACTGAATATTTCCGGTCCGAATCTGCCAACCCTTTCATTCTATGATCTGCCCGGCGTTATTCGCCAGGCGAAGAATGCGCAGGAGAACTATCTCGTGCGATTGATTGAAGACCTTGTGAAGAAACATGCTGCCGACCAAGACTGCATTGTTCTATTGACGCGTTCGATGACCGGTGATGCCGAAGTCTCAAGTGCAGGTGGCATTATCCAAAAGATCAAGGGCACTGAAGCGCGTACCATCGGGGTTCTAACCAAGCCTGACCGTCTGGCATTCTTCGATCGTGGGTCTGGTAGCATCCCTGAGAATGTAGCCATTCGCGAATTCTCTTCTTTCCATCAGTGGATTGAAATCCTGGAAGGGAAGAGCTTCGCACTAGGGCACGGATATTACGTTGTGAAGAACAGCCCCGACCCCGACGTGAGCCACGCCCAGGCCCGCCAGGAGGAAGAGCTATTCTTTTCCAATAAAATCTGGAGTATCGCTCCTATGAATGATTTTTGGAGTCGCCTCGGTGTGAAAAACCTGCAAGATGCGCTCTCAAATGTCTTGATGGACCAGATCCAAAAGTCCCTGCCATCTATCATCAAAAAGGTTAACGAAAAGGCCAAGTGTATCGACGACAAGTTGAAGGACCTTCCGGAAACCCCACGTGAGGATGCGCAGCGAATGGTAACCGAAATGCTCACAATCCTGTACCAGAAGCTGGGGTGCCTGCTGAGTGACAGTGATGCTCCATTTTCCGAGCAGGAATTTGCCCATCTCACGCGAGATTTCAAGACTGCCTTGTCTGTGAGCATGCCCGCGATGACAATCCAGCCAAAGCCCGATGATTTTGAGATTGTCAAGCGTGAACCAGAGGTGCAAGTTCCCATCACGCCGTCCAAGCGTCGAGCTCTCGAACAGGATGAATCACCTCCGCCGAGAAGTACGGCAAACCCAGGCTCAAAGTCTTTGCCAGAGTACACTTTTTCGGAGTTCGAAGTCTGGAATCATGCGGCTGTTCGCTTTTCGCTTTCGCGACTGCGAGACCTCCGAGGAAAGTTCCAGCGTGCCGGGGCTCCTAACCAAACCGACCCCCGTGCCGTGGATGCTCTCAACAAGATGAGCGTCCGACACTGGGATAAGCCTCTCGCAACATTTGTCTGTGAGGTCCACAAAATGGCAAAACGCGTGCTTCTGCAGACGTTGGAAGCTGTTATGGGCCCATACCGCCAAACAGAGCTTTTCCGAGAGCTCAGTCGCATCATCGATGTGTTTCTGACTCGGCTTAAGAAGGAATACTCCGCGGATTGTATGGATAGATACAATGCTGAGATCGGGAAGCCATTTACTTTGGCTGAGGATCTACACAAGCGCAATATGGAAGAGTCGCTGAGGGTCCTGATCGATCGTCGCAATGATTTGCGCCTTAGACAACATTACAAACAGAATGGCGATAATATCCCGAGTGACGAAAAGAAGTTGAAGAAGGAGAAGCTCGAGCTTGGCCCGGATGAATATTCGCCTGAAATCGAGATGATGGCTGTGAGTACTGTGCATACCTTGCTCGTTGTCATAATACTAACCTCCTAACCGAACTCTCGAGCCTATTATTCTATCGCTAGCCTTCGCTTCGCGGATGTCGTGTGCCAGAACGCTTTCATGAAGGTGTTTTTGAAGTGCCAAGAGGAACTTGTGAACATTTTGCGATGCGAAATCGACGCCAACTGTGAGTGCTTGCAGCTATCTTGCCTACAAGAATATACTAATAACCTGTTTTTATAGCGCGTGATCGCTGCGTACTGCTCCTATCTGAAGATCCCGAGAGGGAGAAACTTCGACTCCAGTTGGAGAAAGACCAACGCAAGTTCGCCCAGCCCAGCAATCGCTTCGAGAGTACGAGCGATCGGAGGAAACTTCTGAGGATGTGACTATGGAGGACTCCCCCGAGCCCATCGCGGTGCCTGGATGGGAGGAGATGTAGGAGACGTCTAAGGATGTGATTGATCTCTGTTGATTCTGACATCGGGAACCAACTACGGTTGAGCAATGCTCTTGAATTTTGACTAAGATCTGACATTCAAAATGTGGGGAATTTGAAAGGGGACTCGGAATTTAGAGAGTGACAAAAGTTCGAAAAGAAAGCAAAAGTCCACAAAAAATAATCAAACAGTCACAGTGCCACCCCGGTGGTACCTTAACATCCACATCTATGCTAGTAGAGTAGTAAATTGCCAGATTTGCCAGATCTAATATCAGTGCAGAACTCTGGCTGAGTCAATGCCCTGGATCATCATCCATTAACAAAATTAGTCTCGTTATGAATTGGTCTCAAATTGCCACTGTTCTAGTGCTAATTAGTACTAGTAGCCCTGGAGTGATTGTTTATTTCTGTATACAACCAAGTCAGGTGGTCCGCCCCACCGCGAGTCTTGGCGCAGCCTATCGACGCCCAATCCGGCGCACTTCAAGCTTGAGGCCAGCGTCGCTTTTCTTCTTCATTGCTTCTCTTATCTTCTCCTTACTTCCTCCCAAACCCCCTTCTTTTGCCCGCCATGCTACAGGTACCAATTCGGGAACAGTCCGGCCAGTCCTCCACCAAGGCTGTCATCTTGGTAAGTGACGCAATGTCTCCCCCGCCACGATACAACTGACAAGTCAACAGGTCGGCGGCCCCTCGCGAGGCACTCGATTCCGCCCATTGTCACTTGATGTTCCCAAGGTGCGTACAAGATATAAATCCCAATTCACATGCCGCGCTGTATCGGAGGAAAAGCTGACCGAAATACCCCGATCCTAGCCCCTGTTCGAAGTCGCCGGTCACCCTATCATCCACCACTGCTTGAAGGCGATCGCCAAGGTTCCCGATGTTCGCGAGGTTATTTTGGTTGGATACTATGATGAGTCGGTCTTCCGCGACTTCCTGAAGGACTCGTCCAAGGAGTTCCCCCAGTTCCGCATGCAGTACTTGAGAGAGTACACCGCACTGGGCACTGCTGGTGGACTGTACCACTTCCGCGATGCAATCCTGAAGGGCAAGCCCGAGCGTCTGCTCGTCTTGAACGCCGACGTCTGCTGCTCGTTCCCTCTCACTGAAATGTTGACTCTGTTCGAAGAGAAGGATGCCGAGGCGGTCATTCTGGGAACCCGGGTTAGCAACGATGCCGCCAGCAACTTCGGTTGCATCGTCTCGGATTCGCACACCAAGCGAGTTCTTCACTACGTCGAGAAGCCCGAGTCGCACATCTCCAATCTGATCAACTGCGGTGTCTACCTGTTCGCCACCGAGTGCATTTTCCCCGCGATCCGCAGCGCCATCAAGCGTCGCACCACCCGCCCGCGACTCCTCTCCTACCCCTCGTCCGACAACCTCGAATCGTCCTTTGTCGCCGCCGCCGGAGACGATGATGACACCGAGAAGAGCGAGGTCCTACGCCTTGAGCAGGACATCCTCTCCGACCTCGCAGACAGCAACCGCTTCTTCGTCCACGAGACCAAGGACTTCTGGCGCCAGATCAAGAGCGCCGGCTCCGCCGTCCCCGCCAACGCCCTCTACCTACAGAAGGCCTTCCAGGCACAATCCGAGGAGCTCACCCCTCCATCTGCCACCATTGTTCCCCCTGTTTTCATTCACCTCTACCGCGACCGTTGACCCCACCGCGAAGTTGGGACCTAACGTGTCAATTGGACCTCGTGCTGTCATTGGCGCCGGTGCCCGTGTGAAGGACTCAATTGTCCTGGAAGATGTGGAGATCCGTCACGATGCCTGCGTGATGCACTCGATCATTGGCTGGAACGGCCGGGTCGGGGCCTGGGCCCGCGTGGAGGGAACTCCCATTCCTATTGGCAGCCACTCTACCAGTATTGTGAAGCAGGGCGTCAAGGTCCAAAGCATTACTATCCTGGGCAAGGAGTGTGGTGTCGGAGACGAGGTCCGCGTACAGAACTGCGTTTGCCTTCCTTACAAGGAGCTCAAGCGAGTATGTGTATTTTTCCTCCCCTTTCTCTTTGTCTTTACTAACCGAAATCTTAGGACGTTGCCAACGAGGTTATCATGTAAACGCCCGCAATGCCTACGAATTTGGAATTTGGTTCCTGCGTCCGAAAAATACCACTCCCATCTTGTCAATATCAAGCGCACCATAATGCTGTTTTTTCTTTCCCTTTTTTCCCTCTCTCCACTTTTCACCCTATCCCTGGATGGCCATTTGTTTTCTCCTAGATGAAATCTATCGTCGGATGTGGTGCTTAGTCCATGCTAGATATGAACTGATAAAATGAGTCTGATCTTTTGCTTTGGGATGTGCCTGGCCTGGCGAGTGATTCCAGAAATAATTGATCTATCTACCGACCTTAGTTAAATGAAGATCTCAAATGCTCATACACATCGTCTCAAGTGAACTATTTTCCTCAGGCCTCATAACGCCGCCATATCCATGCAGTCACAGTCAATCTTTTAACCAAGCGGTCGGAGAGGAAATAAGGAAACAAACCCCCAAAAGGCTAAATCATGAATTCCAACCATGGCCCAGTCTCTTGTGAGATAGATGATCATAAAAGGCCAAAGAAAGAGGGAAAAGAAAAAGTTGAAGAAAAGAGGAAAATGACGCGCTTGCTGAACATCATTATCAACCAATAATATAACAAGTCATCGCCAAAAAAAAGTCATCGCTAGTACATGAGAATCACCGGTAGCCAGCCGGATCATAATGCGTCTGGGAAGGGGGATAACCCTGATCCGAACCAAACCTCACCCGTGGACCCGTACCAGCGTGAGCATTATCCAAAAAGCCCGAAGACTCCTGGGCATGAGCATTATCGAGCGAATTGGAATAAGAATGCGAATAAGCATGCGAATAGGCGGGGACATCACCGTAGTGATTTCCACCAGCCATGACGGGAGGTGTTGGGTCCGGATCATACGCGAACGGATCGCTGCGACGGTTAGCCAGCTTTACGTCGGCGGGATCTTCGCCTAGCATTGCGGCGCTTTCCATTGGGTTGTAGACGCCTAATCTGTTGACGCGGCGGCGGACGATGACGTCTAGGGCAATGGAGGCGATGTAGGCGGCTGTGCCGATGACGGTGAAGGAGAAGAGGGCTTTGTAGGAGCGGCAGACGGATATACCGGTTGAATTGGCCCAGTCGGCTGTTGTGCATTTTGTCAGGATTGTGCCGGACATGCTGTAGCTGAGTAGGGCGAGGGAGAGGAGCCAGAGGAGGAGGAGGATGATGTTGAAGATTATGGAGAGTTTGGGCGAGAGGCCGCAGCTGCAGTTGATGACTGTTGTGAAGAGGACATTGAGGAGGGAGAAGACGGCGGTTATGAGGAGCTGTTGGTGGTGTGGAGTGGTTAGTTTTCCATTGTCTTTGGTGGTGATCTCGGAAGACGGGGGGTCCTACGATTAAAAAGGCAAAGGGCAGTTTATAGCCGTCCGCGTGGAGATGGTAAATAAACACAGCGAGGATGAGGCCGACGACGATGGAGGCAAGGAGGGCGGCAGCGCGGATGATGTTGAAGGTTAATGCTGGGTATATGGATGGTTTCACGGAGGTGATTTTGTTGGAGCGCATCTTGGAGCGCATAATGGCGGTGATTGAGGTGGTTGAGGTAGGGAGAGAGAGAGAGAGAGAGAGAGAGTCCAGATCACTGGAGATTGGAGAATGGAGAATGGAGAATGTATTTGTATCAAGTAAACATGATCGGCGCTCCACTTGACACGTTGGGAGCGTGCGTCACCGGGGGCTATTAATAACCGGGCTGTGTTGCTAGGCATTGCTTCCTTGGTGATGGGAGTTATTATAAGTTGCATTAATGCAGTTCTGAGCAGCATCATAAGTGATAAGGTACTAGTACTAGTAGTACTAGTCATTAAACTCAATGTTTCTCTTCTCTCTAAGTTTTCGCATCCCTATATCAGCGAGATCGCTCCATAGCGGCATATGCTTGGCATTTGTTTCAGATCTCGGCATTTAACTACCTTGCACAAGTTATTTAACTAGTACTAGTACTCGTAGTATAACAAGATTTCTACATTCGCCTACTCTCTGTCTCAGATAGCCCATGCTCAATCCCTAATTATTTGTGGTCGACCTTGAAGTTCCCGATGTTGAGGCTCTCGGGAATACGTAGATGGTTGGTTAGAACCGCGGTGCAGGTTACGGCGCTCCATAGTGGCAACCGGCTCAGTAACCGGTTAACAGTTAGTACTAGTCACCGATTTCAAGCAAACAATTTGTGGCCTAGTGTGCTATCTCAATGCTCATCTCGTTGGAATATTCATCTGGTTGTCATATCTTCCCAGGTACCTAGCCGAGTCCACTGACTGGTAGCTTCCAAGTTTCCTATTATCTGTATCCTCGTAGCCGGAAAGATATCTACTCTGACTGAATATTCGTTTTGTCCAATTCTAGAAACTAGCTGGAATTCTTGTTATCTTAGGAGAAATCTTATAAGGGACAGGGAATAATACTGACTGGCAAAAATGATAATATCCGGCTACTACTAGCGGACCATCATTCACAGCTGACTGGATACTAGTAAATCCAGATCATCAGCTGATTTTTCCAAATATAATACTGGCCCGGGGGGCTGTTTATACCTAACTGCCATCGTGGTATTGAGGCACTTAGTGGGTCCGTTTAGACACAAAATAATAATTCTTCTGGCTCGCGGCGCTACTTACGTTAGTCGCTTCCCCACATTTCGTGTTCAGTGGAACGCGGGTACAGTAGAGTCTATTATACCACCAAGATACCACCAAGTACCGAAGATAACCCGCGATAGGTGGAAATTTCAAGAGATCTGCAACCACGGCTTGATTCACTACCGCTATCATCGGCAAATTCCAAGTTGAAGATAGCCAAGTACTCCACTGTTAGCCTGGTATACCGGTGAACCGGCAAATCCGGCGAAAACGGACGCCAAAAGATAAACATTTACCGGAGTATGGACTAACCTGAAAGCTATCAGATCAGATGTACGATAAACTTTCATGCAGAAAGGTCTCTTATTTGCAGAATTTCCTGTGGGGGCACCGGAGACTAAGCTGCAATGACGACCTACGGTCTATTATCCGGAAGAAGCGGCAGAAAGGGGAATAGTCTATCTAATGTGGCGGACAATCTTTGGCACCACTGGAGGCCCTACCACCCTGATGAAAGATAAAATTTATTGAAATAACTTGTTCCAAGCCCTGAGGAGTACCTCGGAATAGGCCTGGGGATGAGGGGGTCTCTAGTACATATACTACGTAGCTGGCCACTCCCCGTTACTGATATGCTGTACTCGTAGTTTCGAGCAGGATCCATTCTCCCGATTATATTCCCAGCCATGAAGCTTTCTCTTGCTCTAACTGGCCTGAACATTGCTCATCTTTACGGCAGAGTCTCGGCCGTGCCAACTCAAATTCGCCATGATGTTTCCAACGCCTCATACGCGGCCGACATGTTCACAACGGCGATTGAATGGAGTGATGCCTACTGGGACGAAGATGCCGGCTACTTACTTGCGGCATCCAGTGGTTCTGGCCGCTACGATACTCGTCACAGTGCTTGGTATGCGACTCAACTACTAGCCAGAAATGAAGAAGGCGATGTTGCACGGGCAATTCGAATCTTCGATAATGTTATTGCGGGCCAGTATCTCGACCCCTTTAAACAATGGTACGGCGACTACCAGCAAGCACCATCTCAGCCTGAACCTGGTACACCCAAGTATCCCGATGAGGGGCCATACAGCTCAGTAAGAATAAGTGTTCCTGATATGTCAAGAGTTAAGCTGATGATTTGGTATTAGTGGGATCCTAATGTCCGCGACTTTGTTGGGTGCGCTTGGATAGTAGCTCTGAATGACTATGAGCATCTGCTTCCGGTCACCACGGTATCGAAAATAGAGCGTTCGCTTCATATCGCGGCGAAGGGCGATCTTTACCGCGTGGGTGGGGTCGACGGCGACAATCTATACCCCTGCTACTCAAATCCCTGGATAATGCGAACAATTCTTCAAAATTGGGTCGGTACTCGCCTGAATGACAACAACTTGACTCAAACCGGTGAGCATTTTGCTCAGGAGCTCTATGAGCTTTGGAGCATTCACCACACGCTTTCCGAGTTCAACTCCCCAACCTACGCTGGCGTTGCGATGTGGGCTTTAGCGTTGTGGGGCCAATACGGCAGTGAAGGAAGCTTGTTGAAAAAGTACGCTCCAGAGATCTTGGCTGCCAGCTGGGATGAGCTTGCACAGCTTTACAATGCGAATCTCAAGAATACGGCTGGTCCCTGGGACCGCACATATGGGTATGACATGAATTTATACGCATCTCTCACGGCTGCCGTGATCTGGGGTGCAGTTGGTAGAGAACACGCACCTTTTCCACGACAAATCTCGGGGATGTATCATCAAGAAGATTTTGCATTCTATCCACTCTTCGCACTTTCCATGCCTGAGATGCTGAAATACCTGTCTCCCAAGTCTAAATCGAGCCTCATCAAATTCCCGGGTGATCATTTCTACACAGCGAAGGCCTACTCGCCGCCGTTCGATGCCTATCCTCGCAACATCACAACATGGATGTCTAAGGATTTGACAATTGGCGCAGAATCAATTGCGGAAGCCGTTGTCGGAGGGCCTGCAAAGAGTAGCAGTGCCTTTAGCCCTGCTCTCATTCAGTGGGCAATTGATGATAAGCAGGTGGGATGCGTTACCCACTGGGTGACCGAGCCTTCGATTGACGCCGTGGCTTCCAAGAACGGTCTGCACATTTCATACCCCAATGCTACGATGGAAAATGGCCCCGTTTCATTCAACTTCCTTTTCAGTGGGCTTGGGATCAACCACGGTGCGAATGTTACCGGTCTGGAAGGCCTTCCTGGATTAGATCTTAAGGTGAAAACAAACGCGCTATCGAACTACAGCATCGTCTACAACACGGATCAAGAGGTGAATGAGTTCATCTTCTACAATATTACATATAGCATGCCGGAGAGCTTTGACGAGGCTCCGTTTATATCTCTGCAGGTTGTTTGATCAAACATTGGGCTTATATCGATAAATAACATGAAGGAACGAATGGACATCAGAATAGATGAAAAACGAGTGACCTGGATGCCCGTAGAAATATTAACCCCGGGAAGGTACCGCGCATATAAATTTGAAAAGCCTTATAACTTATTTCTTCACCGGGCAGATCTGGTCACTCAAACCATTGCTACCACAGATTTGACCATCGCCGCCACCATCTCCGATACACTAAAAGCTCTTTAGTTTCAGGTAATTCTCTGCCAGATGAATTTTATACTTACGCTAGTGTTAGGATTGCACGAACTAAGACCATCTATTAGTAAATGCCAGACGTGTCAGAGATAATAAAACTTACTAGTTGATACCTGCAATCTTGCAAGAGGTCCCGTTGCACGTCTGTGTATCTCGTAGGTTAAGAAGGGATCGGATAATAGTAGTGCTTTCAATGGTCAACTTACGCCGCAGTATTTCCATCCATTTGGACAGATCCATTTAGTCGCGGCTCCACTGGCCTCAGCCGGGGCAGCTATGACCATAGAGGCAGTGGCCACGATAGTAGCAAGAGTGAAACTGATAACACGCATAATGGATGGTTTAGATTGATTGATAGAAGGGCGTTGGGTTGTAAATAATAAGAAGTTTGGAATGATGAACTTGGAAGATAGTTCAGAATGAGTCTCTGTAGACGGAATCTTTTGCATCTTTATATCTTTAGCAGGAGAGAATGAGAGGAAAATCTATTCTTTTTCTGGTGATACCGAGCTGAAGTGTAAGTGAGCCTCGTGAACGGCGGTAGCTGAAAAATCAGGGTCCTTGTAAGTATGCACGAGGGCATGAAGGCCAAGGAATATTTGTAACACTTTGGATAACTATCGGGCGTAAGTACAAAGATCGGCAGACCTCCAACCAATTCAATTCAATCAGTAGGTTGCTAAAGAGAGCCTCACGGGCCGTATGACGACTGCTTCCAGTCGGGTTTGCAATTGAGATGCTGTCAACGCTTTAGGCAAACAATAATAGCGTAAGGCAGTGCTATGGAATGACTTATAACCCCTCTCGATCAACATAATCATATCCTCTTCTTGGAAATGTGGTCTTTAATTTTCAGCCAGAAAAACCTCAGCCCGGGGCGTCCAGAGCAATATGACTTTCCGCCGCTTGACTGTACAAATCCAGGCATATCAATGCTCGCCAGCCTCGCAACAAGTCTTTTTGGAATGGGGAGCCTCAGATTTAGTCCTCCATGGCTCCTCCATACGGAGTATCCAATTGCCGAGTCTTGAGTATTATTGACAGCGATCACGAAAGTACAGCCAATGGAGTGTTTTACGGCATGGAAAAGCATCCAGCCGTGAATTCTGCGAAGTTTCAATTCACATAACGGTCAGAAGGTGGCCGTCTTGGAGCTAGTTACGAGAACGTAGTCTGATGGTATTTTATTAGCATGAGGGAATTAAATCTATGCTCGCACTGCCCTCGTAGCCTATATCCTGCAGGTTTGATGCACCTTGGGTGGGGGGCTTCATCTGCCGATGAGGCTCACGGCTCGCGAGGTTGCGGTTGACTTCTACTACCCCGCATTTCTCGAGCTGCGAGCCATAACTGGTTTGTGTTAATTTGGCCCCTGCTTTGAACTAAAACAAATCCATCAGCCTGTCGATCACTTGGGCGCCTGATATAAAGATACACGAGGCTAACGAGCTGAAGTTTCGGTGTCGTTAACCACTGAAGTCAGTGGAATGAGTTGGGAGATGGGAATATTAACACGATACATCTTCTCAAGAAGAGCTTATGGCTTCATCATATCTAGGCTTAGACTCCTGCTACAAGTGGTCAATTCCTATCATCAATGCCCACATTCGGATCGACAAGTCCTCGAATACCAATGGGAAAGTCTGAATCAGCCTAGTCACAGGGGAAAAGCTTGGATTCACACTTACAATGGCTCGCGCTACTAGGGCCAGATAATTTCCCTGCTTTCTGTAGTGCTTCGAGATTCCTTGTTGTTTTCGCTGAGAAAAGATGCTATACTATGTCTGGGGCATCCAAGGAAAAAAGTTAACGCGCGTTGTGAGATAAGAGATTGCCTGTATGAAATTTGAGATATCAGATTTGTAAAATATTCAAGAAAGTGAAACCTGAAATCATAACGACTAACACAACAATACTTACATTCCAAATCAATTTCACAATAAATCATAGTTACTTAGGATGATGTTTAACTATTCCAACTAAGTCACACGCTTTTGCTAGTTTACCTTGATAATCTTAGGTTGTAATCATTTCTTTTTAAATTAATATGGCAATATTCTCGTAGACTCGTACTGCAACTGCCTTGGGCGACATCCAGTAGATGCCTGAGGTCCCAAGGTCAACTAATCCGAGTCATCGGGTCGAAGATATTTCCTTCATGAAAAGAAGTGAATTTGGTTTCCAGGTCTTCTACGGGGTCATTTAAGAGAGGCTGAAGCGGATCTCGCCGGCTCGTTAATAGTTACTACTAACTAGTAGTAGCCACCTAACTAGCCCCGGCCGGGCCTAGCCACAGGCAGCGATCCGCCCCAAACCTAATGGAGATAGCTTCAATCAAAAGTGGTTCAAAATAAATATTTCTATTGCACGCTAGACCACCTTCCAGCACATCCAACTCGCCATGCGGCCCTCGATCCTTCGACCCCTGACGCGGGCGCATTTAGCCCCTCGAAAGATTTCACCTGCGGCCTTCACACCAGCCAGATCTTTATTCCATAAGACTGCTGTACTCAGAGATGGGCTATGGACCTCACCAGAGAGAAAAAGCAATGAGCCATACCTCCATCTGGAAGCCATCAAAAGTCCAATCAGTGCCGCCCACATCGAGGCACAGGATCTAGTCGTCGGTTCGTCCACAAATCCATAAGCCAGCTATCCCAAATGACTGCAACAATCAGCTAACATAAAAATGTTTGACGGTCCAGTTGATCGTATTCTAGAGCCTCAAACGGTCGCGAATTTCATTGGGTTTCTCTTCGGAAATCCGCTTCCCGATGGCACTCGTCCCTCATCAATCGCTACTCTACCGCTAAAGGAGCTTGCTCTGATACAAGGCAACGAGCGGGTACTTGGCGCTGATACAAAATCTTTCTTCTACCGTGTAATGCTTTATATCGGTTCCAACGAGGATAGCAGTCGACTTTGCGGGGTTGGCAAGAATATCCAGTCTCTCAAATCCCGCCTTTGGTCGGGTATCACTCCCTTGAGTGATCAACGATGGAAAGAGAAAGGCCTCCATCTGCCGGAGAACTTCGATCAAGCCTGCCAGAACCTTGGTGCTGTGGTCTCGGTGTTCGAGTACCTGAACGTTCCAGAGGTTCAAAAAAATCTTCGCGACACTTTCAATCTCATTTACGATACTTGGAGCGATCTAGACGTCGTTATTAATCAGCGCAGAGCTGAAACGGGTGCAGAGCCTGTCAGTGTCGCTGATCTCTGGACTTTGTACATGTCGGTCCATCTAGAGGTCATAACCCAGCGGGCGCATAAATGGGTCACGCAGCATGTCGATAGCTTGCGAGCTCCATTTATGCAAGATTTATTAGCCTATCAGGGTCAGGGTCAAAAGGTGTTTGAACCAGATGCAAAGCAGTGGCAGTTGGGTGATGCGCTCCACGTCTTGCTAGAAACCTCCGTTCGAGCGGACCATACGATCATGATTCCGATGGAGGGTTATAAAGGGTATAAGGCTTCAGACAACAAAGTTGGACCGCCAGAAATGCACTCTGCCCAACATCAGGAGCGGGGGCGGCGTACTCCCAGCGGGTGAAATTTCTCAGCCACAAAATTCCCATGGACAGATTTTTTGAGGGAATTGCTAAAGGTGAAAAATCCAGGAAGCTTACTGTCTCGGAACAAATCTACGAGGCTACAACAGAACAAGTTGATGCTCAGAGGCAAATTAGAAGAGAGCTTCGTGGTCGTTCGCTTGACTCCACTTTTCAGGAGCCGTGGATAATTTCCAAGTTGGATAGGTTCAAATATTTGGAAAATAATGATTTACCAAAAGACTCTGGTATTGCCATTTATCGTCTGACTCATGGACAATCTGAGTCAGAATGGTTGGAATTTGTCAAGAAACTTGAAGATCATATCTCCGATTGGGGGGCCGGTCAAGATGGCAGCGATTCTATCAAGCCATACCTGAAGCTCCACTGGCTAGATGGAAAGAAATTGGGCATCGCACAAGATGACATTGAAGCCGCAAAGCAGTATGTACTTCTTCATGCTAGTGGAGAGTTTTTGGCTAAATATTGATATAGGCATTTTAACGAGGTGTTTAATGGCTTTGAGGGCCCGGATGCACCTCCCCTAGATCTCCAATCTAAAGCAATTCTTGCCATTGACTCGGCCTCTTTTGCGTCCTATATGAGCAACTCCTATGACGCTGCAAAATCCTCTGTGCTCCCAGGGGATTCAACAGGATTCGTTCTCGCTATTGACCCCGAATTTGATCCCGAAATTGGATTTGATAGACCAGATGAATCCCCCGATTACAATGGCCAGATGCGTGTTCTCGGAAGTCTAGTCTGGGGTGACTTGTATGCTATACTGGAGTCGCAATCCGGGGGACTCGGAAACCTGTGGCCTCTAGCTATGCACCATCCAGATCAGATTTACGTCGGCCCAGTTATCCCACTACAAAGACTCAACTGGCAGGCTCAAAAAGACGGTCAGTGGAATGTGGTATCTGAGGCAATGAACTATGCAGGGAAATTCTTGAAGTGAATTTCAGGACACATGGCCCACGAATGAGTCGTTGAAAGTCTGACCCAGTGTTTCTACCAGGACAGCAGCGTCCCAAAAATACTATATTCTCTCTCTACATTGTTAGAGGATTTTAATATGTCCTAGACTTACAAATATTTTCTTCTATAATTCCTTTTAAATCATCATTGTAATTCGCAAGATTATCTCAAGAGCCCTGGAGTTTTCTTTCAAAGAATGCGTATTGCCTCGTCACTTGCGTCTTTCATCATTCAGAAACCGGCTAGAGAATCCAATTACGGATTTGAACTGAGTATGATTGAATTAAACTTCTGGTGCTTGGTAAATGCGCTGTTAGGCCCTCTACGAAAACGGTATCTCCGAACATCAAACCCCTACCTGCAGCGGCCAAAATCCGAGGGCATCGTGGCGGGATAAATGACTTTTGGACTTCTCCTAAATTACAGTGAGTCTGATCCGTAAGCCTTCTTTCTAGATATGGCATTTTTAGTGTGCTAATCCCAGCCTTGTGCAGGGTAGCTGCTCGGTTTTTGGAGCCGGGCTAAATCCGCCCGCGACTCTTCGCATTCTGCATCCAATATTATCTCCATATATGATTTATAATTAGGAGAACCATTTCAATAATCATTTCGGAATTAAAACCGCGATGTTACTAACGTATCACTATAAGTACTCCTGAGGCGTCCTAGGCTCTCTGGTTGTATCGTTCACAACACCCAGATCCGCCATTCAATACTACAAAAGCAAGATCAACAATCAATATTCTCAATCCATCGCTATGGCTGGGAATCAAAGCCCAGCTACTCGTCTTCCCAAGATGAAAGAGCACGCTCTCATCGGCGATGCTGCGAAGATTCCCGTCATCAATTCAACTCCCATTATCTCAATGAGCCCGATTATTCTACCTGCACCAGACCGTATCATCGATATACACATCAAGGTTTCTGCGCCTACAACGGGAGTAAATTTACCAATCATTCTCCTTTCTCATGGTCAAGGTCATTCGAATTATCTGTCCTCGCTCGACGGATACGGTCCCATCGCCAATTTCTGGGCATCCCATGGCTTCATCGTGATTCAGCCTACTCATCTCAGCTCCAAGTCTCTAAGTCTTAGTGACGATGTAGTCCATGGAGATGGTCCGATGTTCTGGCGCTCTCGTGCTCAGGATATGAAGCATATCCTTGACCATCTCGACGAAATCGAGACCGCTTTCCCCCAGATTCAAGGACGCCTGAGACCGCAGCCGCGTCGCTATTGCTGGTCACTCTATGGGTGGCCAAACTGCCAGCCTGCTGATGGGCGCTCGTTCCCGTGATTCCACCGAAGATCCTCTCGTCGATTTCTTTGAGCCGCGCATCAAGGCGGGTGTCTTGCTGGCTGCCCCGGGTGATGGAGGCGACGGCGTTAGCCAACGCGTTAAAGACAACTGGACATTTCTCGCGGAGCATACCCACGCGGAGATGAAAACGCCTGCCCTCATTGTCATTGGAGAAAATGACGGTTCGCCCTTTCTGACCACGCGGGGTGCAGCATACCATGCAGATGCGTACCATAGAAGCAAGGGCCCAAAGTCTCTGCTTACAATTGCCGGGGATATCACGGTGTAGGCGGTGTTTCTGGCTATGATTCAAATGAAGCCACAAATGATGAGAGCCCGGAGCGATTAGGTGTGACCCAAAGGCTTACTTGGGCCTATCTTCGCAGTCAATTCTATCCTGAGGATCCAGCATGGTCGGTTTCTTGCAATGCACTTGAGAAACTCCCAAATTTGGGAGCAGTCGAAAGCAAGTGATGATGTTATACTTTGAGAGGATTGTGGAGCACGTTAGTCTAGAAGCAGTCTAAGGATTTATTCAATCCATGACTACTTTAATTCTCTTTATCGCGGAATGGTTATACGGTCTCTATATCGTTGCTTTCCACAATGACAGTCACTTTCTTCACATTCAATACAACTTGAACTCTCCCCTTGGTCTTAATTTTCAAGAGGTCCCTTGCTTTTCTTTTGGACTCAGAGGCCTATACTACCTTTCTTTATTGACTGGAGATATTTAGACTACTATTACTACTTGTACCTTGACTACTAGTAGTTAACTAGATTGTTGAAGTATACGGATCGCACGTCATAATCTGGATAAATCAGACTCAGCCTTCCACGCAATTAAATATTGGAAATCAATCGACTGAGATCAAAGTCTTCTTATACCCAATCTATTACTATTACTAGTATTGTTTTAGTACAATATTCCCACAAAATTATCGTAGGCCCTCATGGTTGGAGTGGAATGGAATGGAGTGCCAAGCACGGCCCACTCGTCCCTCCGCGCCGCGTTGTCACTATGTTGCCTCGACTCACCTTTTAAAACCTCCCAATGACCCAATACCACCATCGCTCTACCATCCCCTCGCATTAGGCTTCATCGCTCATCCCTTCAATCAAAACCTGGGCGTGCAACAAGGACACCAACCCGTGTCACCGCAAACAAACGGGGATCTCCCCCGCACAACTCACCTTCTCCCCTCCACCCTCCGCCCTCCCCAACTCACCAAATCCTCAACATGTCGACTTACGAAAGTACGCATTCAAGCTCCCAGCACAAGTCTATACAAGGAAGACCCCAAGAACTAGAAGCTTACTCAATATAGTTGAACACAATACCACCGACCCCTCCGCGGCTTCCTCCGCCCCGCGTCGCCGCAGACCTGACCTCTCCACCTTCTTCTCGACCCTCTCAGAGATAACCCCAGCTCCGGATCACCGACCCCATGCCGTCCCGGTACCAGGCGACGTGAGCGCAGCCTTCTACTCGCTCGCCGAGGCTCTAGAAATGATGCGCCGCGAATCAGGCACTGCCGAACCACAAACCCAAACTGGCGACAACACTGCCTCCGCCGAAACCAGCGACGACCTTCTCACGACAATGATCCAGAATCTGCTCAATGGCGCCGAGGCCCCGCCACGGGAGGTGGAAGGCGTGAGCGAAGAGTTTTGCGATAGTAAGTCTCCCACAATTACATGTCGCCAGCCAGCTAGCCGGCCCGCAACTTCCCACTGCACCGAAGCAACCCCACCGGATCAAGTCAACATGGGCTAATTCGCGGAACTTCCGTCTTATCTTTTTACAGTGCTTGACCGTGTTCCTAAATCATCTCTCGACTCTTCGCAAACTTGCCCTATCTGTAACAACCCCTTCCTGGAAGATGAGTACCCCCTCGTCGTCCGACTACCCTGCCACCCCACCCACTTGTTTGATCTCGAGTGCGTGCGTCCCTGGTTGCGGCTGCGTGGTACCTGTCCGCTTGACCGGTTCGATTTCGCGAAGCAGCAGCGTGAAAAGGATGAGGAGCGTAAGCGTATCGCCGATGAGGATGAGGAGGAGGAATGGGATGGCATGTATGGTTAAATATGACCAGGGAAAATCAAGGTTCGTTATAACTGGGGATGGATAAGGGCAGCGCTGGCGTTGAGATGGGTGCATTTGTGGTCGGTTGATGTTGCGATGCAGAGCGAAGATATGAGATTATGACAGCATCTGAATTTGATGATCATGGAATGAATATATGTGCATGCTGCGTGCGCGACTGCTCTTGCAAGGTTGATGGTTCAGCGTACTGCATTCCAAGGTTGATAAGATTTCTCATGATGTACAAGACTAGTATTCGATATCAGGATCTTACGGTTTAATGCAATGGAAGAAAATCATCTGAAGAGAAAGTGTTTCTTTGGTGTTTGGTTTCTATTGTATTCCAAAGTTCGTAGTTTAAAAGTTCGCTTGATGCTTTTCGAATTTGAGAGGGGTATAGTTATCAACATGGTTGGACTATTAAGGTCCCGAATGACTAATTCCCATCCTTAGGCTTAATGGACAGCTTTCCAGCTTCATTTATCATGGCATCATAGCCACTTCGCTCCAGCACGCCGCCCTCATCCTTGACAACCTCTCGGGCTTCGAGCTCTTCAACAAGTCGCTGGTTTTCGCGATTGCCCTCAAGCAAAAACTTGAGACACATAACTGCATGCTCCTTGATGTATGGGTTGTGCGCATCGAAGGCGGTGCAGCACAAAATGGCCTCAACACCGCCGTAGCGACGAATCTGTTCTTGGACTTCCGGGCACTTCCAGACAAGTGAAGAAAGCACAAGCACAACGAGCTTCTTAAGATTGCGCCACTCAAATTCGGAGGGATCTTCGGTGATGGGCGGGGACTCGGGTCGGGAGTCAACGCTACCGGCGTTATCGATGGGGTCGGGATCAGTTGGATCGTAAGGGCGCTCAACGGCTACCGGTGCTGGCGTGGCCGATTGACTGTCAGGAGAGGAGCTGCGAGGCGGTGGAGGTGGTGGTACGCCGCCGAATGACATATTGTTGAGTTGGCCCTTCGGAATGCTGGCCTCCAGTTCCTTGATCAGAGTGACAAGGTCGTACACAATCTCCCACTTCACAAGGAGATTCTTCCAATCATTGTTCTCGGTCAGTACGGCGAAGAACTCGAGGAATTGGTACACGCCCTCGTAGACGCGCTCCATGTCCCACAAGTTGAGTGGGAAATCCTCCGGCAACGCACGTTCGGCGCGAATTTGACCTTGCAAGTAGATCAGAGCGCAGGTTTCCGGGATAATGTTACCGCGGAAAATGGTGAATATGTATCGAACAGTCAGAATGTCGACACGGCTGAGCGGGGATGGTGTGCGCGGGATGCTGTTTTGAGACGAGCCAGTCACTGATGCTGGCGAGTATTTGGCCCGGAAAATGTGAGTGAGAATCTTGATAACCACTGCCTGGGCCGGGGAGATGATATCCTTCGGCTGGCCGAAATCAGAGTATGCGTGTGACATGAGTCCATTGCGGAGCACAGCTTCCATAATCTGGACCATCATCTTGAAATAGAGTTCATCGTCAGGAAGGTCCCAGGCCGCAATGAAGATGAGAAGTTCGCGCAGTAGATTGCGACCAGTTTCTTGTGTGAGCAAAATGTGGCATCGAAGAGCTTGCATATTCCGCGAGCCATTGCGCTCTCCGCCTTTGAGGCCGAAGCTGTCAACAATTCCAGCTTGAACGATCATCGGCAAAGCCTCGATTTCTGCAGGGCCTAGAACAAGAGGAATATCGGTCAATAGACCGCGCTGCTGGTCGCCCGGGCGGCCACGGTAGTCGTCATCGTCTTCCTCGTCGTCAACTTCTCCAGTGTCATCCCCTCCGTCCACATCGTCGCCATCATCTTCTTCATCGCCTTCAATGCTTCCGTCTGCATGGCCCTCCAAACTATGCGAGTCATCTTCTCCGACCGTCCCAACATCGCCAGCGTCATATTCACCATCAACGTCACCCAGTTGAGAGGATTCTTGAAGTCGAGCCATTAATTCGTCCTTAGCCTCTTGTAGAGTTTCAGCCGCGGATTGGGAGGATCTAGGCATGCTTGTGTCCTCGTCGCTGACCGGAGAATCCACAGAGTAATCATTTACTTCAGGTAAATCAGTCCAGCACAGACGCGGAAATCCGGCCGTCATGCTACGGTCAATTGTGAGAATGGTCTTCTTCTTGGTTGTTTCATGTTCCTCTTCTTCAGGCAGGGCAGGTGGCAATTCACGGGCCCGGTCTTGAAGATCAGACCATCCATCAACCTTGGCTCCCAAGATTGAGGTCAATGCAGCACGGATGTATTTGACCTGTTCGGGGTCCCTGCCCATCTCTTGGATGTCAGTCAAGTCCCGACCCAAAATCTTTTCCATATGGTCCTTGATGTTGGCCAAGAGTAACATTGCAGCCTCTTCTTTGATGGTAGAAGGCTCCCGCGGGAACTTCGCAATCGTCTCCAGCAGAAGATCTTCGGCGGTCTGGTCGTAGAGTGCTCGGATGGGAGGGTTGATAACACGCTCACCAACCCGGACAATAGGTGCGACGCCCTCGATGCGTGCAGCAGGGTCCAATGCCTCCTTAGGTTTGATGATGTTTGTATCTGCGGTAGAATGGTAACCGAACAGGTCTAACCAGAGAACCATCTTGCGCTGTTCATTATGCATGATGAAATTGTGAAGGTATTGTAGACACGTGATCAACAGGCGCTTGTAGAGGTTGACTACCTTCTGCCAGCGTTCCTCGTTACGCGCATTTGTCTCCCCATCAAAGCCACGCGCTGTAACTCGTACGCAGGTATCAATCAATGCGAGAATCCGCTGGTCGAATCCTTTCTCGGCGGCCAGGTTCTGAGCCTTTTTTGTTGTCGCCAGCAAGTTGCGGGCGATGGTACACAAATCGTTTAAACGTTCGATATCCTTGACCAGTGAGAAGTAGTTGAATGCGATCAGGTTCGAAGAAGAATGCTCGTAAGATGCTGCCGGACTCTTCCATGCAAAGGATTGCGATTCGAGGACCGGAATCGCTTTTGTGAGGACGTCCGTCAGGCCTTGCCAAATGTCCGGTGACATACCCAGATTGTGTCTATACAAGAGATTTGATCAGCAAGGGTATTATAGGATGTGACATTAACTAGGAGGAACATACCGAACTTCACTTTCCTGGTGCGTCTTGTACAAGATCTGCTTGCCGGCCGCGAGCATATGCTCGAGGCGTTTCTCGTCGATCATTCCCGAGTCTCATAGTGAGACAAGGTTCCAGCCAAAATCACCTTCAGCATGAGCTCCGGTGGAGTGCATAGCGGCTTTGGATCAGCCATTTTGCAGGTGAGATCGTGAGATCGAGTGAACGCCGGATGGTGGGATGAACAAATTCACGGGCGGGCGCGGGCAAAAACCATTTTGTATGGGGAACTGCCTTTGACCGCCCTGGACCGCCTCCCTGACCGCCTTCCATTGAACTATTTGGAGATCTCGAGAACTTGCAGACAGTAATAATTATTAGTATTTACTGGGTAGAGGACTATTCCAGTAGATAGATTCTCTTTTCAAATTGAGATCAGTTTGAAATCCTACTAATAATCATTCAACCTTGGAAGTTCAGTTCCACAGTCTCCAAGTCACTTCGTCCCCTTCTAAATTGAGGCCACCTGAGCATGATATACTCCAAGATTATGAATAATCCATGGATATTATATTGCACACATGGGCACTCGCAGGATCCAAGTTCCCGTCCTCATTTTGTATATATTGTTCAGTGTGATTAAAGTTATTATAGTAGGGATGCATTTCGTACAAGAGTGCAGAAATACTAAAAAGTTTATATTGGTAGACCCACATTGGTTGTATACTATTGAGGAACTAGCATTAGTTGATCTTAAGAAGCTCAACCTCGCTGTGCAGTACTTGATTAGTCTGGGTCTCACACAATAACACTAGATTTTGGGCGATGACTCTGTAAACTTACAAGATGAGAGTTGAGCCTGCGGGGATCTTGCCAGCCGCTCTGTGTGGAGGGAATGATTAGCATAAAGTCCTTCCAAGATAGTCATAAACATCGACTAGATATCGTCCGATTACATACTTGTCACCATAGGCATAGTCCCTAAAAAATTATGTTAGTCTCATGATCTCTCGTTACTCTTCACGAAGAAATTTGACTTACGGGGTGATGGTCAGGTTGGACTTCTCGCCAACGCTCATCTGCAGCACACCCTCGTCCCAGCCTAATCAAAGTTAGCAATTCAATTCAATATTTCAAAAAATTCTCTGGGGTAAGTTTGCAGAGATCTCCAATAACAAAAATGGCCCAAAAAAGGTGTGAAGAAAACAAAAATGCGAAGCTTTACCCTTGATAACCTGACCAACACCAATCTGCACATTGAGCGGGCCGCGACCGGGCGATCGGGAGCTATCAAATCTATGATCTTGTTTAGATTGTGAAACATATTTGGTCTGGAGCATGGATCGGCGTACTGCTTGCCCTGGAAGCCCTTGTTGGCCTTCTTAGGATCGTAGATCCAACCAGTGTAGTGAATCGAGACCTTATCGCCTGAGGCAGGCGAGGCACCGCTGCCGCGGGTAATGATCTTTCTTTCGACACCCATTTTGAATGGTGGACTTGCACAAAGTATAGAGGAAGAGAGTTCTGGGTGTTGGTGGAATGAGGGAGGTCAACGGAGGCAAGAGGCAACGTTAATTTGTATTTTTCCTCGAAGTGGGGGAGCGGCGGGACGACTCCCCCGCGATTCTACTGGCCAACCAGCAACAATAGCAAGCAGCAACCACGCCGATCATGACTTGGAGAAGCAGGCTACCTCATAGTTACAATATTATATTGGAGGAGGTGGGGATTTCTGTGAATGTTTTGATTTGGAGCATCTTTGCCCTGAGTGTAAATTTTAAATTGCATTATGTACAGTTCTTCCGCCGCACCGAGATCCCTGCCGCGTCCTTCAGATTGTTCCAAAATCCCAAATCGTAGATATTGTCGATTTCCTTCATACTTTGGACCGGATGCCATCGTGGATCTATCGGCATATCCGTGTCACTGCGATATTCGATCCGGTTGGTCCCGGGCACCAAAATGTATCCTTCCAAAGGAGGCTCATCGTCACTGACTAGCAACTGATCACTCTTAACTGGCCAAGAACAATCGTTGAAGTCTATGAACGGCTGTGCATCCGGGATCTGGCCACGGTGAGATTTGAATGCAAACCCATCCTCGACATCTTCCTTCCAATCCGACCATTTCGCACTCTCGTTGGTCGTCATACCCGCCCAGACAAGATAGGTATGGTATACCAAGAAGGCCATAGCCAATGGAGCGGTCATGAGCATTAAGAGGGTCACAGTTCCAACCTTGGGATCCAACTGGATCACAATCGCCCAAATGTTGAAATACATGACCCAACCCTGCATTTCTACTTGGATGTGTGCTGGTATCATTTTTTGCAGGGTTTGGCGTAGCAAAGAGTACCCAAGACAAGTGCCATAGATGAGCAGCACTGATAAGGAAAGCAATAAAGCCAGGAAGAATATGTAGTTGTTGGCTCCAACACAATTCATCAACCACACGCAATGATGATCTTGGCGGGAGATGCAAGTTTTGCAGAACTTGCAATGCTTGCTGCGTGCTGGCTTGTGGAGGTTACAAGTACTGCAACGGTAGCCTGCATGGAATAGCACCTGGTCATATGGATAACGTTTGATCTCCAGGTCGTGATTTTCTGGCGTAATCTGAGACTTTGTCACCACGCACTTGTAGAGCAGAAAGTATGGCATAAAAACCACCAGAGAAACCCATGGGTAGTGGACACTGCCAATCCGAGGCCAAGCAGCTGGCAAAAAGACAACCTCTCCTCCGGCAAGGAGGCCAATGAAGAAGAGCTACCTCGCGGGTCAGATCGGCAAGGCCAGACGGTGGGAAATGCAAGCATTGAAAACATACCAAGACCAGTGGATGGTTTTCATACAAGATATACTTGCCAGATTGGTTCCAAATCCTAGTTAGACGGCCGCCAAGCAAGCGCGAGTCGACATAGGCAACACTGTTGGGGAAATATACCCAAACTACCCGATACAAAAACGCAATGGGTGTTTTCCTGAGACCTAGTCAGCTTATGATGCCTATATTCTATAGAGATGTACTCACCTAAATGCAGGTAATCGGCCAAAGAGGGCGATGAAAGTAAAAGTTGAAATGGCCAAAATAACCAGCGCAATAGTGCGAAGAGATCCCATCGTGGAGGATGCCGTGGGTATCTTATGTGGGCCCTGGGGGAATTTAGAGAGCACAAGCGGTATCCTGAATTAGTATACTATTAGGATATCATCGCTCCATGTTCCTCCTCCCTTATCGGTCGGGAAGCTGAGGTTGGCAGCTTGTCAGCGTTCCTCCACGCGGCGCGGCCGCTGCGCCAATGACACGTGACCCTGTTCTGTTGGGAATCAGGAACACACGGCATCGACAATCCTTTGTCAAAACAGCCGATCCATTTTTCATCGAACAGTCGGCCTGAGACACATGAGCCAGATATTCCCACTCTGAAATTCCATACTCGCATCTGATTTACAACTGCTGGCCCTAGCCAAAATGCCCTTTGTGACACGTTAACACGTGATAGCTTGATAGCGCGTCATACCCTATCAACAACAATACTGCATCAATAGTCGCTGCCTTCTCTTTCATATCGTCAAAGGGAAACTTGCCTCATGAAAATCATTCACACATAGCGAGGATGTCAGTTTCGAGTGCTCACCAGGTCAATATTTTCCAAGGCCAGCGGTTCTGGCTCTCACGGGAAGTGCCTCAGCGATCGAGGTTCAAAGACCTCATCACGGTATGTCTATCGCTACTAGGCGATATAAGGTTGAAGACTCATAAGTATATAGAAACATGGCGGCGTGGTTGTCTTGATGGAGAAAGACGCCGATGTCATGCTGGTTGATCATATAAAAAAGAACATCCCCACTGGCTGGTACAGTCTCCACTGCGAACATCCATATTGCAAAGACACCACTAATATATCTTAGTCATTCCTACAAGTATGTCGAAGAATCTATTCGCAAAGGTCAAGTTGCGGATCTGGATGCACATCGCGCTGGCTCCTCTCGACCCCGTGCAATGGGCGCATCAAATATTCCAAAGCAGGGCACAAAATCCGTTTACACTTTGGAAGATGATCAGCTCCTTTATGACTTCCTTTACCCCTTTGAGCAGGAAGAAAATGCCCCTATACATGGCAATAAAATTTACCAGCTACTGGAAAGAAGAGTATCCCCTCCATCCTTTGGCCCAACCTATGTCTTAGTATTGACTGACATCCGGTATCCAGTTTCCCAAACATCCCTGGCAGTCTTCAAGATCTCGGTATTTGAAGAAGTTGCGTGGCAACCCTCGTCCTGGTGGTGGTGTTCCTAGGACAGATCTCTTGCGATCTGAGCCTCACGCAGAGCCACGGGACGAGGCACCAAGATCGGCCACACCACCAAGGCGAGCTACTCCAACGATACCGACTACGGCTCCGGCACAGACTGTGCCATCTATTCAACAAAAGCCCATACCGCCGCAACCCACCTCCTCAATAAGTCACATCGACAAACAATCAAAGCCCAAAAGAAAACACAGCCCGGCGCATGAAGCGCCATCAGCACCACAGGCCTCGCCTTCTAAGAAGAGGGCAGTTGCAGAATCTCGACACAGAGACAATCCTCGACAAGATTCTCCTCGACAACCTCTTGAGCCCATTACGCGACCACCCGCATTGATAAGTCACACGCCAGTATCAGAACAGCAGGGCGGGCCTTCAATACAGGAAGTGTCCCAGAGTCTCGACAGCGCCGAAAACCTCAATAGGGAGGAGGAAGAAGGTGCTATGCTTTTTATGGAATTGCCATTTTTACCTTCTCCAACGGAGCCCGCCGATGAGTCTTTCGACGAAGAAGATGACGGCGGAGGCAGTGAAAGTGGGGATAACAACTTAATCGACTGGGTCGAGACACAAGTATCACGAGGCTTCGATGATGCTGTCATAGATGATGCCCTGTGCTGTACAAGTTTGAATTGCAAGCTCGCTGGGAAGATCTTGAACATACTGGCTGCTGGGAACCCTATTCCTAATGATATACCCGGGGTGTGGACTTCAAAGGATGACGAAGACCTCCAAGGATCCAATGGCCGCGAGGTCGAGCGAGTTCTCAAAAAGCATGGTGAACATTCATTAAGTGAAAGGTGGAACTATCTCAGTGAGGCAAGGGAGAGAGACATGATTTAACGCAAACGATGCGATGACAGGAATGCATGGTAAACTACATGAGATTCCCTCGTCTGGCTTGACTGGCATACCCAAAACGAATGAGATTGCAAAAAAGTCAAATATCACATGAGCGACGGAACAGAAATAAAATCACAGCCATAATCTCATATGGGGAATAAAACAATCCCCGAACCTTATCCTACAGGAAGGAAGCATAGACGAGAGACCTTGGTTGACAAAAATTGATCCGACTCCTATAAGCTCCTTTAAATCAAATGGTATTATTGCACAAGACACCCGGAAAGAAACATTCGTCCGCAGACCGTTCCACATGCCGAAGAAAAAAACAACTGAGTGAGGCGCTCTCTGTTCAACCGTCCTTGAAAACCCTAGAAAATAAATCAGCACGTATTCCAGGGTTGCAATAAATGAGATCAATGGACTTACAAGTGCTTCTCGTAAAATTTGAGCATCTTCATCGGGCACCTCTCATAACAACTCTGGATGTGAATTCGCGACCGTTTTCCATTGGTCCAGAGTAGTAGAGCATAAAGCTCTTGATCATTAGCATCGCGAATAATTGTATCCACTGATTGAACTTCCTTGTCCCAGTTTTGGCTCTTGGGCACCCAGTCGGATGGCTCGTCGTCTTCACTCGCTGCCGGGGTGTTTGCGTCAGCCTTGACGTCGTCCTTGGACTCGTTCTTTGGCGCGGATTGGCGACGCCTCTTAATCTCGGTCGGTGTGGCAGCTGGTTTCTCCTTCTTCTCAGCCATTGACTTGCGCTTTCTTCCGGGGCCCTTAGCTCCCTTCTCGGCTGGCTTCTCGGCTGGCTTGTCGGGTCTACCGCCGATCTTCTTGTAATACGCATCCAGCACATCCTCAGCACCATCCCTAGAGAAGCGATTAGCAAGTGCACAGTCTTATCTTGTCGAGGTGCATACTTCAGTCCGATTTCAGGCTCCCAGGTATGGTCTTTGATCGCTGGCCAGCCCTTCCATTTCACAAATAAAAAGAGAGTACCCTGTTGGTCAAGTAGTCAGCGCAAATAAATTGAGTGCCAAGTAAGGTCTGGAATCAATTGAGCTTACATCAACTTCATATCGGTGTTTCTTGATCTCCTCAACGACGAAGCTGCGCTGGATTAGTCGAGCCGAAACATACCACCACAACGACTAGACCGAGCTTACACTCCCTCTTCTTCTTCGTCGTCGTCGTCGTCGTCCTCATCCTCATCTTCTTCTTCCACATTTTTTGTAGCTTCCTTGGTTTCTGGGGCGGTGGTGAAAGGAATGTCACCCGACTCCTCATCGGACCACTCCTCCACTGGGGCTGTATGTAACAAGAGTCAGTTCGGGGGGAGGTGGCGCGCGCGCGAGGCATAAACAAGGTGGATTCACATACGTGGCATCCTGTTCAGGATAGGTGAGGTAGCGAATGAAACAAGTCGCGAAAACAGCTTGCCGATTCTCGAAGTGGAACGTGACAATCGTCGAATCTCTAAGAAGAGACACGCTTTTGCGCAAGTTGGAGAAAGCGGAGTGCGCGCGCGTGGGCAAAAGCTGGGCAGCTCAAAAGGCGGAAAGAGCCAGCACTATCCCGTTTTGGGCCGCCCAGAATTTAATTTGCGTGGGAGAGCTTCACCCCTCCGCATCGCTCGGAGAAATACGTTTGTGTCGACTTCTGACGATCCTTTCACTTCGGATCTCATTTCGGGTTTACTTTCTTTTTTAAATTCTTTAATCCTCTGCCTGGTGGCAGTCCACCGTCAAGATGGCGATGAGTACGCTTTCCCCTGTCCCCGGATACCCTGCCCCTCATTTAAACACACCTCCGATGCATTGACTAACGTGCCGATTCTTATAGATCTTGATCTTTCTCAAGGTGATTCCTTTTCGGACCTCATACTCGACCAATCCATCCAACATGATCACTAATACTCGGGTAGCCTCGGTGATGAAGGATGAACAGGGACGCCCGTTTATCGTCGTTCGCGAGTACGTTCACCGACAAACCCTCCTATACGCCCCCGTCACTACAATTGGATCTGCGGAGAGACATAAAAAGACCCAAGTTTTGCTGATGGGAGATTACTGTACAGCCAAGGAAAGAAGAAGAGACAACATGGTACCGAGGCCGTGAAGTCGCACATTGTCGCTGCCAAGACTGTGGCCAGCATTGTCAAGACTTCTCTGGTATGGTCTTCTACATCTGAGGAAATGGAACAAGAGTTAATGGAGGAAACTAGGGTCCCCGTGGTCTGGACAAGATCTTGATCTCTCCTGACGGCGATATCACCGTCACCAACGATGGTGCCACTATTCTCGGCCAGGTTCGACCCCCCAACCCCTGATCGAGGCCTTTCGCCAGTTCGCCATATTCTAATAACCCACTGTGTCTATAGATGGAAATCACAAACAACGTTGCCAAGCTGCTTGTTGAGCTCTCGAAATCACAAGATGAGGAGATTGGTGATGGTACAACCGGTGTCGTGGTGTTGGCAGCCGCCATGCTGGAGCAGGCTGCAGACTTGATTGACAAGGGCATCCACCCCATTCGGATAGCCGACGGTTATGACCAGGCCTGCGAGATTGCCATCGCTGAGCTGGACAAGATCAGTGACGAAATCCCCTTCACACTCGAAGACACCAGCAACCTGCTCAAGGTTGCCAAGACCAGTCTGGGCAGCAAGATGTACGAAGCATTCTTCTCTTTTCATCCACCTAATGCGCACTAGCTAACCCAATACCAGTGTCTCCAAATCTCACGATCAGTTCGCTAAGATTGCTGTGGACGCTGTGCTCTCGGTTGCCGATCTGCAGCGCAAGGATGTTGACTTCGAGTTGATTAAGGTGGACGGCAAGGTCGGAGGTGCTCTCGAGGACTCTCTGCTCGTCAACGGTGTTATTGTTGACAAGGACTTCTCTCACCCCCAAATGCCCGACGAGGTCCAGGACGCCAAGCTGGCTATCCTGACCTGCCCCTTCGAGCCCCCCAAGCCCAAGACCAAGCACAAGCTCGACATCACCTCCGTTGAGGAGTTCAAGAAGCTCCAGGATTACGAGCGGGAGAAGTTCGCTGAGATGATTGAGCAGCTTAAGGAATCCGGTGCTAACCTGGTTATTTGCCAATGGGGTTTCGACGATGAGGCCAACCACCTGCTACTCCAGAACAAGCTGCCCGCCGTTCGATGGGTTGGTGGTCCCGAGATTGAGTTGATTGCCATCGCCACAAACGGCCGTATTGTGCCGCGTTTCGAGGATCTTAGCGCCGACAAGCTCGGCTCCGCTGGACGTGTTCGCGAGATGACTTTCGGAACTACAAGAGAGAAGATGTTGATCATTGAAGAATGTGCCAACAGCCGGGCGGTCACCGTCTTTATCCGAGGAAGTAACAAGATGGTAAGTCCAGTCCAATCTTTCTCATCCAGTTAACCATTTCTAACCAAACTTGCAGATCATCGATGAGGCTAAGCGATCACTACACGATGCTTTGTGTGTTGTCCGCAACTTGGTTCGTGACAACCGTGTTGTGTACGGTGGTGGTGCTGCTGAGATTGCCTGCTCTATCGCTGTTGAGGATGCCGCTGTCAAGGTCAGTCATTATCGATGTTCAGTAAACCCAACATCTGGCTAACATGATTCAATTTTACAGAGCCCCGGTATTGAGCAGTACGCCATGCGCGCTTTTGCTGATGCCCTTGACGCCGTTCCCCTGGCTCTATCTGAGAACTCTGGTCTGAGCCCCATTGAGACCCTCGCGTCGATCAAGTCGCGCCAGGTTAAGGAGAAGAACACCCGTCTCGGTGTTGACTGCATGAACACAGGTAGCAACGGTAAGTCACTACCACCTCGTGGGCTTGAATGTACACTTGCTAATAGTTATAAACTACTTAGACATGAAGGAGCACTTTGCCATCGATCCTCTGATCGGAAAGCGCCAACAGCTTCTTCTTGCTACCCAGCTCTGCCGCATGGTTCTCAAGGTAAGCTTGACTGAACATGACTTTGATATGTTATTGGTCCGAGACTAACGAAATTCTAGATCAACAACGTCATTATCTCTGGTGACGATGACGCCGAATATTAGGTTACCCGCACATAGTCTTAATGCCCTATAGATGGTACTGGAATGACTTGTCCGGAGCATCGCCTTTGAAAAAAAATTACGATTGTGGTTGGACTCCTATGTAAAATATGGTCCTTTACATAGAAAATTCGAAGTTACAATGAGGAAAGGATTTATGATCCCTCGCCATCTGTCCCGCTCTGAATGAGTAGAAATAGTAGCGTTCGAAGATAGTATACTGTACCATGTTCAAAGCATCACTGTTGTTCACTTCCTACCACTCTTGGACAAGCTAGTGTTCAAAAAGTAGCGTGATACTTAGCAAAAACCACCTCGGGAGGGCACCTTTGAGTACTATCCATCCTCAAAAAGCGTAATTTACGCGCGAAAGATATCTATCCATTCACGTCTAAAATCCCCGGTCTCCGGGGAGCTCGTGCCGCTGATCTGGGAGTATCCGTGCTATGTTCACAAGGGTGACTCAAGATGCCGAGGAACAGCCGACAAAAACTTGAAGCACACACCGGCATCTGGTTAAATGACCTCGGTCTCGCTTCTGCTCGGAGAGGGGATCTTGTTGATCATCTTGCATTTGAAGGATCCAAAGCCTCTGATCTAGTGATCTCGTGCCCGTCTTTCTGCTGTTCATGTTACTCGAATACGAGATGGTTAGGCGCTGGTACATCTTCTCTGGGGTGTGATTTCAAAAGAGTGGATTCGTTGTGCATGTCGACTTTGCAGGTCTAGTAGTTGGCTGCATGTAGGATCGTTGTCCCTGTGCCAGCCTCGTGGGAGTTGTACGCGTAAGGTTTGTAAAGTGCTGCGGAAGGGGTACCTGCTTTGTCGTGGGTGGAGGACAAGACGATCCCTCCTGCTGGTGAAGAACATATTAGTACATGAGATAATATGTAGCACATTCCAGTGTTTGATTTGAAGAGCTACTATGTATACTAGTGGACGAGGGAATGAATTGGCGTCTTTGTTTCGGGTAGTCGGGGTTGGGGACATGTACGACTAGATGGCATCTCTTTTTTGAAAGCAGTCTCCTACACCTTGGTACTTGATCCGCGTATATGTTTAAAGCATTAGTAGATGTCCGACCTATGGGAAATTGTGGAAGGCTATGAGATGGTATAACCATAAATTGTCTGTTGATCATGAAGCCCGAATCATAATATCACAATTGACAGCCATGGGCAATTCGTCATGCCATCATACTGGCACCCTAAATTCCAATACCAAAACTTGTCATCCTAGACCTAAGGGGTAGTCTGGAGCTATATTCATGTTTGCTTCTTTTCTTCAGAGTGGATCAGTCCAAACCCCCCACATTGGAGGTATTTCAGGGTTTAATCCGGTCCGTCCATGGTTGCACAGCGCGTGGAAGCGTGACCCCAGTTCCGCGCAACTCGTGGTTCACGAAGTTTCCAATTCTACGATCCACTGCGGCTCATCGATGGCCAAAATAGGCATGATCTGTCTTTGCCTTTTCCTTTTTTTTCTGTCTCTGTTTTGCCTCGTCTGGTTCGCTGCTCTATTCGTGACATGTGAAGGGTAAGCTATCTTGTGCGACTAGTAGACCTGTTGTAAAAGTCGACACTGAAACCGGGGATCGCATAGCTAAGTTACTTGCATTTTATCCTCCATTTTCAAAATTCATTTTTAGGCTTATACATAACATAGAGCGGTCTAGACTCCCATGGTGGTCGGCGGTCTTCAGCGGTCAACCCTCCAAGGTCCCACTCCCTCTGCAGGAAGGCTTGACAATGTGATCGCTTCGTATCTAAAGACAGAATATCGATGCATTGGGTGGCAGGTTTTGGATATGCCACATATTATTCATTGCTCTGTGGCTTCGGGGGAAGTCGCTATTTCGTCTTTCTGTCATGTTCTAAATATCTCGTAAAAGCAATGCCGTCAAGTGAATATGGATCCACTAATACTGCAGCTGCAGTGTTGACATAGATACTATACATAGACAGAGCCCTTATAGAAAATGTCAGCGGTAGCAGCGGGTGCGGATAAAGCCACTCGTCTTCTGTGAGAGGTTGATTTTTAAAATTCTGCATGGATGCAGCCGGTGGGCGCCGCCACGGGGAAGAAATGTCAGCTTGGCTATTTGTGTTTAGAAAAAATAGGTTGGGTTCGAGCTCCGGTATCGGTCGAGATGCAAAGCCATCAACTGCGGTGTGACGAAGTAGACAGGTACGCACAAATTCAATCTGGAATGCTCTTTTCGATTATTTATCGTTGACGAGGTCAGGATTGGAATCTGTGAGACCCAGCCTTTAGGGGCCTGCGGGTAAAAGGATATATGAAAATGGAGATGTGAGTACTCCTTGT